TTTCAAACTCACACGTAACACCCATGTTTCATTATTCATTTAATCCTATCGAGGTTCAATATACCCCAATATATCTCATTTAAGGTTCATTTGTATCATTGGAACTAAATGATGCATAGCCCAAGACCCTAGAAGAAAAAAATAAAAAAAAATTCAAAATCTGCCAAAGTATACCGGTACGCGTACGGGGACGCATGGCTCACTGGACCTCACCGAACTGGTACGCTGAACTCTTTGGACCTCGCCGTACCGGTACATGTACCAATAAGCTGAGTCCATCTTTCCCTGTTTCATCAGTTTTCGATTTCGAATCCACTCAAAACATTTCTAAATCCATCACAAACATGTATAATAGCATTTTTTATATTATACATGATTCATACAAGTTCTATTACAAGCATTTGCGTAATTTTACATGTCAAAATGGCATTTAACCAAAATTTTACAAAAACTTGTTTCCAAAAGCCACAAACCGGCTTTTCTTCACCCTCGAGGCCCCGAATGCGAGTCCTCTGCCGGTATTAAGTTGTTGATATAAATTCATTGTAATTGTTTGATTGACAATAAACTATTTCAACATTGAGATTTATTGTCAAACCAACGACTATAATGAATTAAATTAGTTAATTGAGTAATACTATTGAGATCTAATTTACTAACTTATTTTACTATGACCTTTGTATAGATCATGAGTTTCATCAAACATTAAAATTTGGCGTTGATCCAATAATTTTAATAAAAACAAATTATTAAGTCAACAAATTAAGTCATATTTTTAAGTCCAAATAATATTAGTCTAGTTAATTAGGTCCAATTGGCATACTCCATAAACTTACAAAGACTATTGTTATTGTCAAGTGAAATCAGTGCTATTGTTATTGTCAGTCTGAATAATGCTAGTATGTCTTGTCAAATGAAATCAAAGCATTTTTCATTTTTCACTTCCATAATTCGAAAACGCTACATCTACCCATCGTACATTTTTACCTTTGGAAAATTGGAAACAAGTCTTATTTCTCTATCTGTTTTAAGCAATAAGGACACGAAAAAATGTGTAAGGACAATTGTTGGAGTATTTTGGGTAAATAAGTCTTTAGCTCACGCGCTTTTTTTTTAATTAATCTTTTTGTCATTCGGCTCATTAGCGTTTAATTAGGAGCTTATACCGATATTGTTCTATTGATGATTGTTTGAATTTCAAATTCTATTAAAATTAGAAAATGTTTCATAATTGGACCTCATTAATTCAATGTAGCTCTGTGTTTTGTTTGTACCTCCATCAACTTAGGTATTCATTAAAATTCGTAGTTGGTATAGAGGTGCTCTGTTTTTTTTTTTGTAGTTTGTTATTATTATTCATGAAAGATTTTCTTCAAAATTGGTTTGAATTTGATATATTGGTATGATGAATAAATGTGTATTTGCTTAATGTTCTTCAAAATTACTTTGAATTAGCATTTTAATATTTGTATATTGTTTGAAGAAAGATAAGTTGTTTTCATTGTGATCACCCAACCGTTTCTGTTATTGTGTTCGTTTGCCATAATTGTGGTTTCATTTTTTGAATTTAGCATATGGTTTTTGATTTCAGCTAAATATATATGGTTAGGAATTTTTTTGGTTCAGTTTTTTGTTTGTTTCAATTGTTAGATCCATTGTTAGATTATGTTTTGGGACCTAGAATAAGATTTTTGTTGTGTATGACCTGTCACTATGAATTGATCATAAAAATCTGATGTTGTAATTAACTTTCATGTCGTTAATAGTTATGTAAATAGGCTGTGTTGTGACATTAGTTATGTTACTGTGTGTTTATTTGTTGTTCTATGTATTAGTAGTATGCTCTAAGATCAATGATATATATGATATTTTGGGGTTGTACTAACAACATTCATTACTTAATTAAATAAAAGGGCAAGTTAATTTATAATGTTTCTACTATATTTCATTTTAATATACATGATATAGTCCATATTGTGTTAGTTAAGAAGATGAGTTCTCAAGGGATTGAGAAGAGGATACTTATACTTTTTAGTGCTTAACTCTTAAATGGTCATAGGACTATGATATGGACACTATGTAATCCGAATAGACTAGCATACACTATGTTTACTCATATTTGATATGAGATGACTAGTCCAAGTCACTAGTGTAGAAACACTAAAGCAAGTGCATGGGTGCTTGCNTTATGTGGACACTATGTAATCCGAATAGACTAGCATACACTATGTTTACTCATATTTGATATGATATGACTAGTCCAAGTCACTAGTGTAGAAACACTAAAGCAAGTGCATGGGTGCTTGCTAGAGAACCAGTACACTGAATGTGACAATTGGCTAATGTAGAAATTTTCATATAAAGTATCTGTCAATGTTAAACCCTAAAGTTATAATTATGGAACTGATCCTTAAACTTGAGACACCATGGTTGTCTTGTGCATGAACTTCTATGTTTTAACTGTATAACTTATTCATAAATTAACCTATTCATAAATTAACCATGTAACTTTGATATGTATTGTGAGACATATTTAGACATGCATAGAGACTTATGAGTGTACAATATGGAATCTATCACACTAAGTAATTAAAAGGAGAATGTCCTTTGTGATCCTCTAAGATATGATTCAAAGAGTCCTTGGCTAAGGTAGAATGACAAATAGAAAAAATTTCTAATTGATCATTAGGAGTCATAGTCCTAAGATTGAACACATAAGATTGGGTTAGGGGTTTGACAGTAATTCTATACCCTAGTAATTCAATTTAGACATTATGTGATAGAATGATTGAATTGCATGATAACTATAGACTGAATGTGTTTTTTACCTACTTTGTGCTATCTAGAGGTTAATCATGATATGCAGTTAGGTATCAGTCATAATTAGTAGAAGCCCAATGAAATTAATATAATATATTAATTGTTCTTCATAAAGGGAGAATTAGAATAGTTCTAATTCAAGCTAAATTAGAAAGAGTTCTAATGTGAGATGCTACTTATAGTTAGTATTGAATGCCTACAATTGGATATGTTTGAACCTATAGGGTCACATATAATAAAATTAATTGGAACTAAAGGATAAATGAGAGAAAACCAATTAAGAGTTAATTGGGGTAAAAACCTAATTAAGAGTTAATTAGAGACTTTATTATAATTAATAGTTAATAAAGGAGTTTTATGTAATTATGAGATAATTGCAACTAGATCCAAATTAGGATTAGAGTCTTCTAAGGCTTTATAAATACCTTCATATTGGAGGTGAATAGATGATAAAATAACTCTAAAAAATCTACATTCATTCTCTCTCGAATAGTTCATGAAAAGTTGAGGAATTTCATTCAAGTTTTTCAATTCGTGTGGATACCAAGAGTCGCCAAACAATTGCGAGCCTTGAGGGAAAGATCAAATTCAAATTAGAAGATTCAAAATTTTTTGAGAAGCCTGAAAATTGTTAAAATCACACTTCAAGAGATAATCCTTAATCTTCTCTATAGATCTAAGGTTTCTCAGTTTGTATTACAGATGATTTAATACAAACTTGATGTGATTATTGTTATAGCATGTTAATGGGATTAACCAATACTAGGGATTGTATAATTCAAATAACATATTTTATTTTGTATGAGTGTTCTACAAAATAAATTTTGATTTTTTCACATGTTTAATATGAGATATGAATGGATCCATGTATTTGAAATTTTTTTAAAATCAGATTTTAAAATTGAAAAAACGTAGCTACAAAAAGTAGTAACAAGTTTTTCTTTAAAAACTAGTTTTTAATTTGTTTAAGGTTCAAGATTGAACTAAGGGTGGAACGAGTTAGAGTTAGATCTTTGGTCCAAAGGTGGCTACGATAAAAGTTTTTCATCCATGGTGAATAACAATGATAGTCTTGAAGTAGAACTTAAAATACTAGTTCATATTGTTCTTGTAAAATTCTTCAAATCTTACTTTGATTTGATCTAAATTTTTGTTCAACATTAAATTAGACAAAAATTAGATTTGTGAAGTCTCAAGACTTAATTATGGTAAGAACTCTTGGTTTGTTCAAGTTGAATACAATTAGGTCTCCTATTTAATTTTAAGGTTAAATTACATGGACACCCCCTGACTTTTTGGTTTATTACACGAACATCCCCTGACTTTTGACAAATGACACTCGGTCCCCAACAACGTTAGAAATGAAACGCTGCTAACAGAAAATGTAAAATGACAATCTTACCCTACTTTTGTTGTCACAAAAAAAATTGATAATTCAGTTCAAAATCAAAATGACTATAATAGTCTTGTAAAATATCTTCGCACTAAACCAAAACACCATTCGTCACATCTACAGAGAAGGCAAGAGAGAACCCAAATCTGAAGAGAGAATCGATTTAACCCCAAATCATCTTTGAGAGATTCCTGCGTCGATTCAATTCCAAATCATGCATACCTCACTCCAAAATCAGAGAAATCCAAACCCTAAACCATTTTCACCGTGCTTGAATCAGAGAAACCCTAACCCTAATCCCCATCATTTTTACATATTTCAAAAAACCCAAATCTGTAAGCCACTCTAATGTTGTTTGGATGTAGATCAAACAAACCTTTAACCTAACCTAGAAAGGGCGAAGTCTGGATTTGACTCTTCATCTTCTACAAAGCATCTCGTTTAAGGAATTTTGGCTCTTCATCTTCTATAAAGCATCTCGTTTAAGGCATCTTCTTCTGACTCTTCAATCCATCACAGGTTTGGCACATATTTAGATTTGTCTATGTAATTTACCCATTTAGATTTGATCTTGAGCCTCATTTTTCATTATGTTGGCACGTCTCTTTTTCAAGTTTTAGTCACCTAGTAAGAGACATTGTTGTCCATCACTCCTTCCTCATCTATTTTCATTTTTTGGCCATTTAAAGGTTCTGTAGAAATGGACGAGCAGGAGCATGACATTATTGTTCATTTTAACAACTCTATTTTCACCATTAATAGGGTCGACCCTGATAGTTATTGTTGTATGGATATGGTAACAGATGTTGCAGAAGTTACCAATGTTTTTATGGGTGATAGTTTATCGAAGGTAATGATTGCTATTACAGTTGATAGGCCAAATGGTAATGGAAAACTTGTACTTGATGGCGATGAACAATTATAGAAAATGTTTTCTTTGTATAGAAATTGTAAGGAGATACCTGTATTTGTTAATGCTGATGTTGGGTCTCAGGGGAGAGTCCCACCTCCTCCAAATGTAGGAATAGGTGAAGAGCCTAATGTTGATGACAATGAACGTAATGTTAAAAATGATGATAGGGATGCAAATAGGCATGAAGTTGATTATGTAAATGGGGATAAACATACGGGTGCTGGTGATGAAAGATGATGACTAGATAGTTGATGGTGATGATGCCCCTAATGTTAGTTATGAGTACAATGATGATACCATCAACACACAGTTAGATGAAAACAGTGACGATGGGTTTTTGGATTATCAATCAGGGGATGAAGGATATGTTAGTAGTACAGATTTTGAGGAAATTGAAGCTAAAGTGGATGAAACACATAGAAGGGGTAGGAAAAGAAAGTGCAATGTCGGTGATACTTCAAGATTTGGAGTGGAGTTTAATGTTCCTGAAGATTGAAACACTGATTGGGACTTTTGTGTGGGGATGTTGTTTGGAAATGTTGACTTGTTTAGAAATGCATTGAAGGATTATATAATAAAGACAGGGATAAAAGTAATAAGGAAGAAAAATGAGAGGACTAGAGTTACCGTTGAGTGCGTTGTTGACGGCTACCAGTGGAGGNGCTGTTTGGATGTAGATCAAACAAACCTTTAACCTAACCTAGAAAGGGCGAAGTCTGGATTTGACTCTTCATCTTCTACGAAGCATCTCGTTTAAGGCATCTTGGCTCTTCATCTTCTATAAAGCATCTCGTTTAAGGCATCTTCTTCTGACTCTTCAATCCATCACAGGTTTGGCACATATTTAGATTTGTCTATGTAATTTACCCATTTAGATTTGATCTTGAGCCTCATTTTTCATTATGTTGGCACGTCTCTTTTTCAAGTTTTAGTCACCTAGTAAGAGACATTGTTGTCCATCACTCCTTCCTCATCTATTTTCATTTTTTGGCCATTTAAAGGTTCTGTAGAAATGGACGAGCAGGAGCATGACATTATTGTTCATTTTAACAACTCTATTTTCACCATTAATAGGGTCGACCCTGATAGTTATTGTTGTATGGATATGGTAACAGATGTTGCAGAAGTTACCAATGTTTTTATGGGTGATAGTTTATCGAAGGTAATGATTGCTATTACAGTTGATAGGCCAAATGGTAATGGAAAACTTGTACTTGATGGCGATGAACAATTATAGAAAATGTTTTCTTTGTATAGAAATTGTAAGGAGATACCTGTATTTGTTAATGCTGATGTTGGGTCTCAGGGGAGAGTCCCACCTCCTCCAAATGTAGGAATAGGTGAAGAGCCTAATGTTGATGACAATGAACGTAATGTTAAAAATGATGATAGGGATGCAAATAGGCATGAAGTTGATTATGTAAATGGGGATAAACATACGGGTGCTGGTGATGAAAGATGATGACTAGATAGTTGAGGGTGATGATGCCCCTAATGTTAGTTATGAGTACAATGATGATACCATCAACACACAGTTAGATGAAAACAGTGACGATGGGTTTTTGGATTATCAATCAGGGGATGAAGGATATGTTAGTAGTACAGATTTTGAGGAAATTGAAGCTGAAGTGGATGAAACACGTAGAAGGGGTAGGAAAAGAAAGTGCAATGTCGGTGATACTTCAAGATTTGAAGTGGAGTTTAATGTTCCTGAAGATTGAAACACTGATTGGGACTTTTGTGTGGGGATGTTGTTTGGAAATGTTGACTTGTTTAGAAATGCATTGAAGGATTATATAATAAAGACAGGGATAAAAGTAATAAGGAAGAAAAATGAGAGGACTAGAGTTACCGTTGAGTGCGTTGTTGACGGCTACCAGTGGAGGATTCATGCATCTCCTTTACCAAATCAGCCTACTTTTAAAGTAAGGACTTATAGTAAAGATCACAATTGTGTCAGGTATAGGAAGGTGCTTGAAGGACTTATCCCTTGTGTTCATGTAGCAACAGCAGCAATAAGTTCTCAAAGGGAGAATATTGAGATGTTTTGTGATGCTTATTTCACAAAGGAAAAATATATGTTGGTTCATGGGGATATCATACATCCAATTACTGACCTTAAGATGTGGGCTCCAACTAGAGAAACTCTCCATCCACCACCTCTACACAAGTTTCCTGGAAGGCCTCAAAACAATCGAAGAAGAGCTACAGATGAACCAGCAATTGGCACAAGTAAAATGAGAAGTGGGCAGACAATTAGGTGCCAGATTTGCAAGCAACTAGGTCACAATAAACAAACTTGCCAAATAGCACCTGTCAAAGGAAAAGGTGTAGCTCAGGTAATTTTTAATTATGTCCNCGAAACAATCGAAGAAGAGCTACAGATGAACCAGCAACTGGCACAAGTAAAATGAGAAGTGGGCAGACAATTAGGTGCCAGATTTGCAAGCAACTAGGTCACAATAAACAAACTTTCCAAATAGCACCTGTCAAAGGAAAAGGTGTAGCTCAGGTAATTTTTAATTATGTCCATAACAAATGAAAATTTTAGTCCAATATTTTTTTTATGTTTATGTATTTATGTATGCAGTAAACTGTACCAACACCACAATCACAACAATGCTCTCAAGCTGGTGAATCTAGAATTTCTATATCACAAGAAGGAATTGATAATCCTGTTAGGGGAATTAGGGCAGACACTCAGGCCAGTGTAAGGGCAAATGTGAATGGAAGCTGACTTCTTCTAGAAACTGAATGGTGCCCTTTTTTGTATGACATTTTGGATATTGACTTGTGAATGGTGCAAATAGCTAGCATAGGAATGTGAATGGTGCCTTTTTTGTATGACATTTTGGATACTGACTTGTGAATGGTGCACATAGCAAGCATAGGAATGTACATGGTGCACATGGCTTTTTTGACTTATTAGTCCTATTAGTGTTTTTTTGAGATTCTGATGGCAGTTTTTTATTAGTGTACTATGTACACAAACAACTATTGTATTGATGCTATTATAATGTGTTGAAGCCACTACATAGTTAGCATAATTCCAAAAGCCAGTACATATTTCATAATCTTGATTTCAGCTCATTACATATTTAGCACAACTCCAAAAGCATACATAGGACATACACATCGCCTACATATAGGTAAAACACAACCTAACATTACATATAGGACTACATCACTAGAATTTCTAGTTCTTTCTCATAGACATGACCATATTAAATAGTTGCATTACAAAAACAACTAACACCACAACAATGAGGGCCTTCAAAAGTGCATGTGTGTCCTGGCGTTATGACCACCATCTGAGCTAGAAATTCGTCGTAGTCCATACCCATGTTCAGCACATGGAAGCATTATAGTTAATTGGGGATAACACCAAGCAAAGAACCTGCACCCCCTTTCTCACAATTGAAATACAATCTCCCTTTTGTTGGTTTCTCGGTTTCCAGTTCCACTATCTTTATTGCTTCCTTCTTCCCACAATTACATTGTGTTCCAACGAACCTTAAATCCAACATCTCATGTCCTCTAAATCCTTGTAACGCCACAAAAACCCTCGTGGGTGACATTACATTCTAAAAACTATTTACCGTATGAGAGCATTAAGTAAAATTCATCACGACGAAAGTTTCATTCATCAACCATTCATATTTTAACAAAATTTGGGCAGAGTCTCCTTTGTACGGGGAGCTCTACCCAAAACACAACCTGTACAATTATATTACAATTGACCACACCGGGTCCACATATGCATAACTATTGANTCCAGCTCATTACATATTTAGCACAACTCCAAAAGCATACATAGGACATACACACCGCCTACATATAGGTAAAACACAACCTAACATTACATATAGGACTACATCACTAGAATTTCTAGTTCTTTCTCATAAACATGACCATATTAAATAGTTGCATTACAAAAACAACTAACACCACAACAATGAGGGCCTTCAAAAGTGCATGCGTGTCCTGGCGTTATGACCACCATCTGAGCTAGAAATTCGTCGTAGTCCATACCCATGTTCNAAAATTGACCACACCAGGTCCACATATGCATAAATATTGACCACACCGGGTCTATTTTTCCATCATAAAATAAACTTGCATTCATCATATGTCATATCCACACTATCATCCCAAATTAATAGGTCTAATCTTGGCCTTTACATCTCCAAAATGTAATAATATAACGCAGCGGAAATAACAGAAATGAACTAGAGTTCAAAAGGATATTCTAAGCATAATCTAGTCTAGAACAAAATAAAAGTGTCGCTCTAAGCGTCCACCTCGGGATCCACATCCCCGTCAAGCGGAGTCTTCCAATGGGTGGGCTCCTCGGCTCCTAACTCCTCCTCAAGTGTGAAATCTGAAAAAATTTTATTTGTAGGGGGTGAGCACGAAGCTCTGTAGCAAAATCCTCTCAACTCAAACAAGGTTTGAAAAACATAGCAAACGGTCGGTCTCATTTCACAACTAACATATATATAGGTTTGGAATGAAAACAGTGACATTTTAAAAGAGATCTCAAGTTTAAACAATAGCAATAATCAGTTAAAAGAATAAAGTGAGTTTAGCATCGATAAACAAAATTCTAATTTAAGCTATTTAAGAAGGGCTTCTCCCTAAGCATTGTCCCATACCAATGCATCGGCAAGAACGACCCAACTCCCGATTCCATGTATTTTTGGTTCATCCCCGTACCATGTATGTTGATTGCTTCTCGTGAATCTACCTAACGATCATGCCTAGTCCACCAATTCCAACCAACAATCACAAATCTCTTTAGGAAGGGCGTGTACCGTCTCCTACGGCATTGACGAAATCCTCCCAAGGTGTCTAGTATACTAACCCTTTTCCTCGGTGTATATGTGAACAATAGTGATCGCGAGCACAACAACGATCCACTACGAGCATTAGGCAACCATCTCACCCCCCATTGGGATAGACTAACCTCTAACACTCTACGGCATCTCTCGAAGGTAATCCAAGTCCATCACAACAACCATACAATGAGGAAATCAAGAATATTCACAATTCACAACAATTTCCCAAATATAGTAAAATCCCCAATTTTGTTTTCACATTTGTCATATAATCGAATAATCCAAGAAAATATGCAAGAGATCGTAATCTATATCATTTTGTTATACAATATTCAACACTAAAGTTTTAAAATCAAAGACAAAGAAGAAATTAGGAGAAAATCCCCTTTTCTTGAAAACTAGGGCTTTGAAAAAAAAAAAAAAAAATCAATAGAGCTTTGGTGGTTACCCACCCTTCATATTGTTCAAAACATGGCATTTATTACAAATAGAACAAGAATCATGTATTTCATATTATATATATGAGAAGGAGAGTGAAGAAACATATATCTATATACATATATATATCTATATATATATATCTAGCCTCAATGTGAGAGATTGAGAGAAAATCCCCTACCTTAAATCAAGATTCCAAGCTAAGACCCAAGCTTCAAGACCTTCTTGCTCTCCTTTCTTTTCCCCTTACTCTTCTCCTCCTAGGGTTTCAAAAGATTTGGGTGAGAGGGTAGCAAGAATGNGTTTTCCTTTCTTTTCCTCTTACTCTTCTCCTCCTAGTGTTTCAAAAGATTTGGGTGAGAGGGTAGCAAGAATGGAAGAAAATGGGAGGAGAATGTATTCTTGAAGAATTTGAAGTTTTGATTTCTACAAGGTATAAATCCCTCTTGATTGGTATTTCTATCTTCCTCTCTTCCTCTAAAATGGTTCCTAGGGTTTGGAGGGGTGAAATGAATGCTAAAGGGACGACATTAGGTTTTTATAGGGCAAGAAAATCGAGCAAAACCCGATATTTTCTGTTCAGAAAAAATCGGGTTTCCTTCGTACTGTTCACAGATTTTTGGTGCGACTTCCAGGTCAGTTTTGACCCATTTAGAGGTCGAATTGGAAATTTATCATGAAATACACTTTTGTAGCCCTAGATGTCTACTATTTCCTGTAAAAATGTAAGATCAATTGGACATCAAAATATAAGATTATGATCAAAATACTAAGCAGTGTCCATCACCCCTTTTTACCCAATTTCACTCCAATTTGGTTTTACGTCTAAAATACTTCCTAACTTCTAAAACATCCCATATTACCTCTCCCAATGTTTTCCGACCTCCCGAATTCAATGGTAATGTTATTTTGATAAAAAAAAATTAATATATTTATTTAGTTACCCTTATCAATCTTAAACACATCCAAAAAAAAAATTAAGTTTGACCCAAAAGTCAATCCGTTCGAAACTCAAACTTCATGATTAATATTTCAACAATGATTCTAAGTTTTTATCCTCATTTTATTCATATTTGGAAAACTCTTAAGATATTAGTATTCTTATTTAATTTTAGTACAGGGTCTTACAATCCTTCTTCGTTTCCACCTCCAAAACCTTCTATTGTTATACGTGTATATGTTTATCCATTTATAACTGTATACAAAAAAAATAGATGGAAATAGAGATATAGAGGTAAAGAGATATAGAGGAAGACAAAAAAATTAGAGAGCCCTTGCCTATCGAATGAGAAGTTTTAGGAGAGGAAGATGGATTTTTAAATGAAAGGAAAGGGTAAAATAGGCATTTCAATAATCACTTTGAATTGTAGACTTTGACTTTCACCAGATGGGGGCATTATTGGAATTCTAATAGATTTTTTGTTTGATGTCATTATATTCCGTAA